CCTTCTGTTGCAAATCCAATATTTACATGCTTATGTCACTTCCAGCCCTTTTTTGATTTCACCTGAGCTGTTGTCGTTTTCTAACTGCTACCAGTTAGTTACTGTACACCGGCACCACAAAGTGAGGTGCAATAAAAAGCTGGAAACAAGTATGGCCTTGTGAAAGGATAATCGTGCTTAGTTTTGACTAGCACTTTAGGTTATTCATGCAGGCCCTTCACTATTGTGGTACTTTAGTGTAGATCAGCACAGCATTGCCTCAAATTGAGTGCCAAATGTCATTGTGAGGAACGGGATATCGTGTCAGGTGAGTGGGGCTGTACTTTGTGTGCTAACTTCTGATGCCACTGAGAACTTAGTCAATCATTAAATGTAGTTGATTAAATGTTCTTCCCTTGATTGCAGACTAATCGCTTTGCCAACAAACCTATGAGCGATTGTCTGCTCATGTTGAAGAATGAGCAGTGGAAAAGAGTCCGGAGTATACTGACTCCATCATTTAGTGCTGCCAGAATGAAAGAGGTGAGGGTCAAATTGAGGATTTGAATACTGGATGATTTCAAAGGGATGAAAAAAAAGTACAAATAAAATGCAAAACATTTGTGATCTTAATCGAAACACGCACCTTGGCTGACTTCATGTACGGCCGCTGAACTTGTTGATAGTTTTTTGGGGGGGGGGATTAGCTCCAGTTCAATCCGCGACACTCATAAGTAGAGGTGCAGTGTAGAAAGAACACGGATGGATGAAAAAAGAATTACAAGAGTGAAAAATCTATTTGTCATGACAAGTCTTGTATGCTCCAGTAGATGGTTCCACTGATCCAAACAGCCACAAGTGCCCTGATGAACAATTTGAACGTCTATGCTGAGTCAGGGGAAGCCTTTGACATTCACAGGTGAATGCAAATTTCATACACAATAGAAGACGGGCAATCCAAGCCAGTCAATTTTAAATTCTCTCCCCGTTTCATTACCAGGTGTTTCGGCTGCTTCACTATGGACGTAATCGGCAGCGTGGCGTTTGCAACTCAGGTGGACTCTCAAAACCACCCAGATGACCCATTTGTCCGCCATGCTCAGATGTTCTTCTCGTTTTCTTTCTTCAGGCCCATCATGCTTTTTTTCCGTAAGGACAGCCTGTTTTATGATGTATTTATAACATTAAGAAAATGTCTGTGTGTGTATGTGTATTGACAAATTGTTCTAACTTCCTCTTGGTATAGATGTCTGAATTTTATGAATCGCCCGATAGGCCCCTGCCGCAAATAGTGAAAATGTGCAAACAATTGACACCCATCTTAAAAGGGGGCAAAGCAAAAAAGACCAAATCATGTACAGTACACAATAATGAACCTGTTAATTGAACAAAGTATTCAGCGGTTAAATTATTCAACACAAACAAACCGCCATCACGAGGCCCCTAAAAGAATGTATTAGCTAGCTAACTAGGCTAGCATAAACTGATGTGACATCACACATAGGAAAACAAATGTGAGTATTACGTCAAAAGCCATATTAAGTCGTTTTGGCATTTACACACAACAATAAATGTTAACCATAAAGATTATTTTTTTAATCCCAGCAGTATGTGAGGCCAAACATTTAAATTAACAATTTATGAATTTGTGCAGTTGCTTTTCCGCACATCCTGGCTCCATTGATGGGAGTCATTCCCAACAAACGACGTCGCCAAATGAATGAGTTCTTCATCAACAGCATTCGGGGGATCATTAGGCAGAGGGAGCAGCAACCTCCTCAGCAGGTCTGAGCAAATTTTCTTAAATGCAGTGTGTGACCATTACAGAGCCCTGTACTATTTTTTTTAGCAGTTTAGAACCTTTTTTTTTTTGACTGAATCTATATGTAGAGGCGGCGGGATTTTCTTCAGCTGATGTTGGATGCGCGCAGCAGCAAGGAGGGTGGGTTTTCGGAACACAGCGCTGAGTCGGATCAAAGGACTCCAGAGTCTTCGCTTCACCTTCCCGAGTCGTCCGGCCGGCGTCCGTCGAAAAAGGTGATAACCGAAGATGAAATTGTAGGCCAAGCTTTCGTCTTCCTGCTGGCTGGCCATGAGACCAGCAGCAACACGCTGGCCTTTACCTGCTACCTGCTGGCAATCCATCCAGAGTGTCAGTGCCGAGTGCAGGAGGAGGTGGATGACTTCTTCAGCAAACATGTAAGCTTGTCGCTGCCTTGTCTGTTGTTTGCGCGCATGCTGAAAGTTTGACGATTCATTACGTGTTCCCTGTCACTGTAGGAATCCCCTGACTACACTAACGTCCAGGAGCTGAAATATTTAGATATGGTTGTATGTGAAGCATTGCGCCTCTATCCTCCTGGATTCAGGTAACGGGAACAAGAGTTATAGTCGGCAGTAGAAGACCAAAACAATACAGCGAGAAAAGAAGTTGAAAAAATTTCTGTTTTTCCATGATGGTGGTCAAGGTTTTCTCGGGAAATCGAGCAGGACTGCATGGTGAATGGAGTGTGCCTCCCAAAAGGATCCTTGTTGGAGATCCCAGCGGGTTTCCTTCACTATGATCCCGAGCACTGGCCTGAGCCGGAGAAGTTCATCCCCGAGAGGTAAACATGAACACAGTTGGACAAGTTATTTCCTAAATGTAAAAAAAGGGTTGCGTGTGACTTGCAATCGGCTGGCAACCAGTCCAGGTTGTACTCCACCTTTGGCTCAGTCGGGTGTGGGAAGGCTCCAGCTCAGCCTCAACCCTTTTGATGATATACAGACCTAGGATTTTAAGATGTTAAAAAGCAGATTACAAATAATAGTATTCCGTAACTTCTTTTTTTTTGCATTAAGAATTTCTGATCTACAGGACATCTGAGTTATTGTACTGTACTATTTAAATGTGTTTATCACATACCATACAAGCAATTGAAAGTAGTTCTGCCACTACTTAGCTACTAATATGTTAACAATAAATTAATATGAATAGCACACATTTGTGATCATTACAAGTATTGAAGAGAATGAAGAGAATTTTGTGTGTGTGCGCTGTCAGTGCTTGTAAAGAATGATGGTCTCATACCTAGCAATGGTGTTTCTCTGTATCCTCACTCAGGCCAATGTTTTGTCATGTCCTTGGTCTCTGAGTGTTTCGGGTTCAGACGTATAAGAGTCCTCACTACAAGTTTCTAAGCTTAGCTTGGCGCACACCAAGAAAACTATAGTTTTTATGGATACGAGCCCATTCAGATCTAATTTAATCCACTTATTGATGATCCGATTCCGTGACTTGACATTTTTGACTCCGAGACAATTTAGAAATCATACAAGCAGAGTAGCAGACAAAAATTGCAGGCAATTTTTAAAAGACATCAGTTTTAGCTGAACAGTGCAATTGTGTTTTACATTTCACCTTGACTCCCAATGTGAGTCGAGTACTGTACAGGTTATTGCTCATGGCTTTTACTCAATGCGAGTCTGTGAAATAAAAAGCACGCATCACTCCTTTAGATTCATCCCCGAGGCTAAAGCCAGTAGGCACGCGTTTGTGTACCTGCCTTTCGGGGCCGGGCCCCGCAACTGTGTGGGCATGAGGCTTGCCCAACTGGAGATCAAGATGGCTCTGGTCAGTCTCTTCCACAAGTTCAACATCATAACCTGCTCTGCCACAAAGGTGGGTTGCATTATTTCATGTGCACCTGAAGCTTAACGTAACATCTGATGAATCTTTTCTTCCTCCAGGTTCCGCTTGACTTGAAGTCATCAAGCACCCTGGGACCCAAAAACGGCATTTTTGTTAAGATCACAAGAAGGGACGAGGGTTGACATCTGAAACAGATGTGATTTGTACTTGGCATCTCTGAGTTGCTACTTTCAACATTGAATATATCCAGACGTGATTCAGTTTCTGTACAGTATATATAAGCTCCAAGACATCACACGGTAGTCATTCGGTTAATCATAGGAAGACTTTGTCGCTGCTCCAAAAGTCATAAAAGTGACTTTGACTCATTATGCTGGAAAAAAAGTTCATCAGAGGATGGATGGATGGACTAATAAAGCGGAGATTCCATAGAGAGAAAAGTAGATTAATGATACCACTGTTAGGCTCTGTCTTCGATGTTACCGATGATACATATGTTGGTTTCATCCAAAAGATTTTGTTGGGCAGGCTGGAGAGGATAACGACTTTATGAACTACTTCCGCATAATTTTCTTGCTCAGGATTGTACGTTTTTGTCCATCGTGCATTTTTAGTTTATACAGTGCACTTTAATATTTGGCTGCGGAATTATTCTGGAATCAAATGCCCCTGAAAATTCTCACCTAACACCCCATAATGACAACATGAGAAAAAGTTTCATTTTGTTGGGACAATTTTGCAAATTTATGACAGTACTACAGTAATAAAAAGCCACATGGATGTATATGGACTCCGGTGTGAGCCACTCAGTGACATTCACAGACATGTCCTGAGGCTACTGCTCTGATACCTTGGCTGTGTCACTCTGGTCTGAGGTCAAGAGCGCTCTGTAGCATCTTTTCAGCCAGGACGTTGCCGTGTATTGCTACAGTCATCTTTCCTTCAAGCCTGACTAGTCTCCCAGTGATTGATACAAAAGACATCGCCCATCTTCGGAGACCTGGAGACAATTCTTTTGACTTCATGCTGGGTTTGTGCTCTGACGTGCACTGTCAACTATGGGACCTGTATAAGATGCACCCAAGCTCAATTTTAAACGTATTTAAAACAAAGACGATATTTATGGGGCGTTGCATGGAGAAATGATTTGAATCAACTTTGGAACAAAGTGGAAAAAGTGAATACTTCAGATGCACTGTACATTAGCATGGCGTGTAACGTGTTCTTATTTATCCATTACCGACACCTTGCTGTATTCTGAATGACTTTTATTCATTTTGTTCAGTCCAAATCACAGTTCAGTAAAATGATAGTCATGACTATTTCTTTGAAAATGTGTCACTCAAAAACTCAAATAAACGAAACAAGGAAAAGTCAAAGGGCAGTCATAATTCAACAATGTAGAAACTCACATTTTATTTGCCCAACAAATAAACACTGTGTATTGAAAACCCTAAGTTGGACACCCTCAACACAACATTTGAGTGTACAGTATTTAGCAGGTCTTGTTTCAGATGGCTTTAAAAGAATGATTTTGGATCAATTTAGATTTTTTTTTTCCAAGACTCACATTTTTTTCCAAATTGGATTGCTACTCTGGTTACTAATTTAGTTCAGATATCAAAATATCATCCCTGCACATATTTAATTTAGCTTTTTCTGTACTCACTCTTAAAGGAGCAGCAGCCCTAAAAAGTGACATCAGAAGCAAAGTCTCTGTCAATGTCAATGGTTAACTTTTTCTTGCACCTGTGTGACAATTCAGAATGTGATCAGACAGCATTACCTTCATTTAGTTAGGGCCAGATTTGTTATGTCCCAAATTTGATATGTCTGGTTTATATGGATTATGTCTTGGTAAAGTACTTTTGTGTGTTATTTGAAAGAAATGCTTAGTTACATTCACAACTTTCCCAAGTCTTAAGGATCAAGTACTGCGCTTTGTTGTACTTAGTGACTATTTTTTACTTAAGCCAAGAAAGTATATATGTTTTAACCTTTGTTATTTTGATGAACTCTTAAAACTAATGTTGGTCCTGGGATAACCAAAGCTCTCAGTGGAAACACCACAATCATTGGAAGACAAAACCTCTCGAATCACCTTAAGCAACAGCTGCTATTGCTACTCAGAGTAGTGAATAATGTACTCCGGATAAATCTGCTGACGTTCAAAGATCACAAAAACAGTGGGGTTTTTCTCGTCATCAACGCAGCTATCGTAAAGGGTTAGGCTCATTGGTTTGGCCGGTGGACGGGTATACTGGCTGCTTCCCTTGATGTAATCGCCAACCAGGACCAGGGCCACAAACATACTCTTGTTCCCATTTCTGACAGTGGCGTAGCGGTTTGAGTAAGAAGCCTGTTTGGCAAAGTAGCTTCCTGTAAAGACAATTTATTCAAGTTAGGAATGAAGCATGCACGCTGCTTTCGCAGTAGATTTGAACTTTGCCTCCACTGCAACCCAACCGATAAAGTCTCAGACAGGAAAAAGTCTTGAACGTGCTTTGATGTACCTTTGCCAAAGGTGGTGCCGTGGACGCCGCTCATCCTCCAGTCGAAGTTTTGCTCGCAGATGGCTGCGATCAAGTTATCGTTTGTCCCGTGGAACAAGTACTGCTCAATGACAGGCTTCCCTCCATTCCTCTTCTTCATCTGATCTCTGTGCCTGAATGCAAACACACACACACACACACACACACACACACACACACACACACACACACACACACACACACACACACACACACACACACAAAGGACAATTTGTGGTGTTCAGCGTCTTACAACGACACAGCTATCATTTGAATTTTCAAACGCGGTGCGAGATTTACAGCTGAAAGGATGTCCACAGCAAAGGGTTCTGGATCCTGTTGATACTGTGGATCCTACTCTGTGGCATTGTTGCCTTGAACAAACATTCAATCCTGTTGTACTCTGGAGATTTGGGAAGAGGCACGAGCTGGCAAGGAAGATGATTCAATAAGTTCACAAAAGAATGACAAAAATGTCAAGCACAGTCAGGAATAATGAAAGAAACCTTGTATCCAGTGTCAGGCAGGGCATTCTTGTCCCAATGGGGAGGGCATTGTTCAGTCAAAGACCCGGAGCTGTGAGGATACATTTAAGAAGGTGCGGTATTTTTAAAACTGCTGTGAGATTCAGGAAGGAATTCACAAATGCAGTAAAAAAACAAAAAACAAAAAAACCCAATTTTATACAAAGGTGTATTTCTATTATGCATCAAAGGAACACTCTTTCTTGACATACTAGCACTTATTTCACAGACACACATACACACACACCTCTACTTGCAGAAAGGATTGAAAATGCAATACAGCAGACCAGCCGTTGGCATTTGGCTTCACTTCTACATCCCAAAAGGATTGATGCACTCAACTTGTCACACATACCCTTAAAAAAAGTCTTTCCATATCCAATAAAGGATCAATGTTAAATTAATCAGTATAACTGAGTTGAAAAATTGTCATTCAAAAATAATATACCGTATTTTCCGTACTATAAGGTGCACCTAAAAGCATTCAATTTTCTCAAAAGTCGACAGTGTGCCTTATTATCCGATGCGCCTTGTATATTTTGGATTGGATACAACTTTATTGTCAAATGTACTGTATATAGAGCACAAATGAAATTTCTTCCCTCTCAACATAAAACAAGAAACAAGAGGAGCCGCTGCGGGTGTCCGCGCCGCCATCAAAAGAAAAGTTAACAAAAAAATGACAAAATAATACAAGACAACACATGAGACACAGACAATCGTGCAATCTTAACCACTGTCCTGCATACACTTTGTTGTCTGAAGCAGTTACAGATGAAAGAGGAGCGATTCAAAGTGTCCTTTTCACCAGTGGATCAGAGACGTCATGCTGCAATGTGCAAACGTCTGCTACAAGCTAAGCTTGAAAGCAGCAAGAAGCTGTAGCATCCATTCACGAAAAAGAGAGATTGGCTCTCTTCTCCTGTCCCATGTAAATCCGCTTCAATTCCAAGCCGCGACTCCCAGTTCCACATACGCATCAGCGCTCTGCGCTGACGCTCTTTTCTTCTCATCGTCGGCTCCTCAATCCATGCATCCATCCAGCCGCAGACTGTCCATCAGCACCGACCTTTTCGCTGAACAAAGCGGGATCAATATGGATCAATATTCTGATTTCTTGGCCGTAGGATTTTAAATGTTCTGTCAAGCGCTTAACAGCTGTAGCGATTGAGAAAGCTCTTTATAAATAAAGCTCTATTGTATTGTATTCCCTTTAGCGTAGCGGCAACTAGTGTGTATAATGTATAATGCAACCCCAGCCACTATTGTAGCTTCTATTCTTTGTGCCTTATAATGCAGTGCACCCATTTTGTGAAAACTATTTTAAAATAGGCCATTCATTGAAGGTGCGCCTAATACTCCTACGAAGCACCTTTTAGTGTGGAAATTACAGTACTCGTATTTGTAATGCTACAGTTTAATAGAGTGTGTTGACAGTGTTGTGAAAAAGTGTTTGACCCCTTTTCAAAATACTTTTTCATGGCACTGTTCCCAAGATTTGGTGCATATGAGCTGTCCGCCACCATAGTGATTCTTGTGATTCAATACTCATTCGTGCTCCTGCCCACAGTAATGCACATGAGCGCCATTGTCACACACTAACATTTTAGGAAATCACTCAAAAACAACCCCAAGACACTGTTGAAATAAGCAAATGACATTTAGGTTCACCAGTTTGCAGTGGAAAACAACACCGTGTCCACAATCCCTGAGTAGAACAACAATATTTGAATGTGGAACACAACCGACAAACGTACCTGGTCAGCATGACCTCCACATCTTTGGAGGACACAAAGCGAGGCCTCCTTCGGACCTCCCGCTTGGTTAAATATTTGATATTTTCCTGATACATCTGCAGAGTTCCTGCTTCATTTTTGAAGTACATCACATATTGCTGTCCGCCAGTTGTGAAAGATATTTGTGTCTTTTGGTCGACCGAGTAAAATTTCTCCAGCGTTTCAGAAGTGAGAGAGTCTGGCGTCTTAACTTGGCTCTAAAGAGACACAAAGGGACAACGTGAAACGAACCAGTTGTAACATTCAGTCAAGCTCAGTATTCGGACTCGCGTCATCTTTTTCAAGAAAAATGGGCATTAAACCACCAACATGTGTGACATCTGAGAATTATTTCAAGCCAGCAATTACAGTTAACTCATCATCCTTGGCTTTTGTGTGGTGCCACCACAAGAGTGATGATTACCACCAACATGGAATTGGATTTTAATATCTAGCTAGCCATTAAAAGATGTGCTATTCAGTAGTAGAATGTAGCACCTTTCACAAAATGAAAGTCATAAAATTATTTGGTTTAAAATTGGCACCGATTACAATAACTTTATTGATTGCTGCAAACCATAAGTGACATCCCTGGGTGAGAGAATATCTTTTTTGCAAACACTTTCCTGTTGTGCAAAAAAAGTACCGGTATGTTTATTTTAGCTTTACTGGACTGGATTTTATTTGACACACAGTTGCAACTTTTTTTTTTTATTACATCATTTCGTAGTCTAATAACAGCGCAATCTTGGCCAAGTGATGTCATTTCAACCAGATGCGTTAAAAAAAAAAAAAAACTATTTAATCTTAGATTCAAGGCGGTGACGGCTGAGTGTTGAACTAACTACCAGTTGAACTAACTACCAATTACTCCATTTACAATGGATAAAAAACAAAATAAAACCAACAAACAAAACATGAAATTAGACCAACTTTGCGGTGTTACGGCACTGACCGCATTTGGCTCCTCTACGGTCACTCCGTTTGACAAAATGCTCTCAACCTTGTTCTGGAAACTCAAAGAACCCAGCCTCAACTGTGCGGAGATTTGTATATATTAAAAATCTACAATTATAATCCAAACAATTCCAGTTTACCTGACCATACTCCTGCCATTTGACAATGCTCTCCATCCAGTACCAGAGCCACTGCGTTGTCAGACTAAAGTGAGAGGCCTTCGTTACAGAGGAGGCTGTCGACAGGCGACGCACAGGAGAGCCGTTGCAAGTCATACTCATGAAGTCAACTGATAGCATTCCAGTGGCTATGGGGTGGCTGAAAAAAAAGCGAAAAGACTGGATATTGAACACACAGCCTGACTCTTCATTAGAAAACCAACACAAACCAATGAAATCCCAACGTGCATTTTCAAACACGAGCCTGTTTGGACATTTGAGTCTTCAGCACCTCTGCCAAGCAACTGGAGGGAAATATATATTACCCATATATCTAAAAAGCCATTTATTGGTTGTTTAACCCTTTGGTATGTTCATTATTCTTTCATCAGAGATGAAAGTGGACTTTCCTGAAAATATTTTAATATCATTTTTGAATCGTATATATCAGGGGTGCCCAAACTTTTTTGACCGAAGATCTACTTTTCGATCAACCAACCTCCCGGGATCAACCCATTACCGCGCACGCGCGCATGCATGTACACACGCATGCCATGATGAGCAACAGTCTGACGCTGAGGCATGCGACGCACTTTTGCAGCCTGTTAACGATCGGAGCTCACGCGTAGCGTTTATAAATGCTCCTCTCGGCCCTCCAGATTCCCATTCTTTGCCCGTCTCCTCGGTGAATTGTACAAAACAAACTCTGAATGAGAATAATGATAACGATAAAAGATTAGCGCAGCAACTCTGAGCACAAGCTGCAACTGCAGACTGCTGAGCGCTAACAACTTCCGGTGACACAGTCACACGGCACCGTCGGTTAAAGATGACCTGCTTTATTTTAGTTTCTTTTTTAAATACTTTTTGTTAAAGTATTTAATGGGCATGACGTAATGGGGCACCCCTGAGATATATACAGTATGTGATATTAGCTGACTTACCAGGTTTGTCGACCTTTCTAATGTAGTCGGACAAAAAAATCTCCGTTCAAGTCCTTTTCCTCAAGCCATGACCACTTGAACGTGTTCCTAACACTCGCGTCTATTCCATGTATGTCAGCTTGCCTGTCTACCTGGTTGAACATTTCGCTGGGCCCGTACCTGGCCAATCGCGCATGAATTAGTTTCCACAAAACGCTATGCAAATACTCGACATTCAATGATTAATCTGCCTTTTGTGTGCACACGTGCATCCTTTATGGCTTCCGTTCTCGCCGAAATGTCGAAATCTGCGAGATATGGAGAGGCCATTAGAATGTGAGGGGAGGGGTGTGACTGTTACTAGAGTGAGTGCTTCAACATGTCTACGATCGTGAAAGCAAAACTTGGACAAAAAGCGTCGTGTCGTCTCCGCTAGCTTAGCTGTTGTCGTAGATCAAAACTTCTTTGATCTGTGACGGCGGGTGCGTCGGCGCTGATTGGTTGAAACCAAAAGACGAGCGCGTGCGTACATGTTCGCGCTGACGCACGCACAGCAGAGAGCAGCGGACTATCGACCGCTGAGGCGCGCTTCGCTCGAGTGGCGTCGCCACAAGCAATACAACAAACTCAAACGCGCGTTCGTTCAATGTTGTCAACTAATATCGGGATTCATTTTAGGCAATTTTTCCTCAATTTTCCGGAGGAATTTTCATGAAAATTTGAAAATCCGGATTTCCGGGAAAATCCGGAGGACTTTCATCACTGATTGATATAGAGCCTTCAGAACCGCTGCAGCTATAACAAAGCACTTTGCAGAACATTTAAAATACTACATCCATGAAATCAGAATATTGATCCATGAATAAGGCGCATTGGATTATAAAGCGCGCTGTCGACTTTTGAGAAAATTTAATGCTTTTAGGTGCGCCTTATAGTGCGGAAAATACGGTAGATAAAGCTGCAATCCATCTGAGTATGGTTTCTAATAATTTTGTTCTGTAATATAATAAAACGACCAAATAGTAAGACAGCTGTCAATATTATATAGTACAGTGTGTTTCAATTCTTGACCTAATGTTTCATGTGCTACACAAACCTGAGAATCCAGTTTTTCAATTTTGCAACAGTGCACGTCTCGTGTTCGATGCTTGACTCTCTTGCTGGGTCACAGTAGGCCTTCTCAATTTCCTCCATGTCGCTCAGGTCTTTCCAGGTCACACCGTCCTTGTCCAAAACTTGCCATCTATATGGTAAGTGCCAGTGGACACTGCGACATTTCTCTGTCAGAAAATAATAAATAAATATGTGTATGTTTTTTTGTTTTTTTTTAAGTAACACAGACTGCAGTTATGGGAAACTTCACTGCATTTCCCTTGTCAATCATAGCAGACATAAAGCAGACATAGTCATCACGATGCAAATTGCTTTTGAGGAGTTACATTTAAAGACGCACAGCTCGTTGGTCTGCTATGACCCTAATATTGGGTATCTGAAAGTCCTTTAAAAAAATATAATGCTCAGTGTATACATTTTAAAATGTTTATTAGTGCTTTTTTATGAAAGAGGTGTCACTCTAACACTGCATCATACAGTCAATGGTTTCCAAAATTTTGATTCTCAGGCAGCGTCCTGAGAAAAGCTAAACATTCGAAAAACCTCAGAGTATAACGTGGTGCATTTGTATCCAATTGCAAACGACAACCATTATAACATCACTGTGTTTTAACCACACGGTGTGAACCTAAATTGAGTATTATATTTGTAAAGGCAGATGTATTTATTATATTTATTTACTTTTTTAAACATGCAGCTCTCATACCGGCTTTACTTATTCTGTGGGAAATGGTCGGAGTGTTGAGCAGGAAGAAACACCCTGAACAATGTGCTTATCTCTGATTTTTCCAGGTTCAATGCATATTTATTGAATAGTAAAAATTGAAAATTGGATGGCTGGATGGAATTATTGTTTTTTTTTAAACATTTTTTTTATCTTCATTATCTTCTATCTGAAATATATTTTAAATGAATAATTTACAGGCACAGTTAGAGTCATAGTTAGGTTTAGTTGGTAATAGTTATTTTCCTTTACCTAAGCACTTGTGTGTACTGTACGTTAAAACTGGCTAGATATCCAAATTGAAAAAAAAAAAGTCTCACCATTTCTTTAGTTTCATATAAATACAAATACAAAAAGTGGAAGTGAGAGCCCAGTGTTACCTTTATAGATGCATTGTTTTTTGAGGAAGAAGAGGCAAATTTCCTTTGTGTCAGAATCCCTCGCCGGCTTAGTTGCACCCACTGACACAGCAGCACCTCTATACTCTGAAAATACCACATGTGACAAACGCACCTATTAGACCAAAGGAGAAGCGCAATGACAACTTAGAAATATTTTTTTTATTTTTTATTTTTTTTAATATACTACCAGGAGCGGCATTAGCTCGACTCTTCTGATCATCCGCGAGCATGCTTTTATTTTTGTAGACTTTTGGGAGACTCGCAATCATCTCTGGGCTGAATTTTTCAAAACTCTTGTGCGCCTTTGGATTAAGATCATGGATTCTGGAACACGATGGGCCTAGTTTACAGACTCCTGTGGTGAAATGGGTCTTGCAGATATGAAGCTTGTGGCACGTAGAGGTGAACTTGCACAAACCGCTGACACCTTCGCCCATATTGTAATGTGAGCATATCTAGAGGAAAGTCAAGAAGAACATGAAAGGCCCATTATATTCCTATGCATTATATTTGCACTTTTTCCACACTTCTGAGAAGAATTTTAACATCTGAAGTCATTAGATGAATGAAGCAATAGTTGACATTAGCACCACAACTACTTACCTCCGGAAGAAGGTAGGGGTCATTCTGTAATAACATTTGGAACAGTTGTTTTTCTGAAAGGTGTAGGAGGTCATGTTTCTTCAACAGCTCTACATTGTGCGGCCAAGTCAAGTTGTGTGGACATTTACATTTCAATCTAAAAAACAAAAACAGCTGTTTTATCGATAGAAAGATGGTTACGCATTTACACTTCTTTCTGTGTATTAGCACTTAATGATTGTGGTCACTGGTCAATAAGGGTGGACGTTGGAATGATGCTCGATTTGACTGTTTTTGTCAATTTACTCTGTTGCACGCTCAATCGCTCACAGTAAACGTCAAAATGCAGCTCACTGACACAAGAAAATGCGTTTAAGTATAGTAAAGTACTGTATATCTTTATTCCCTACTTGAATATCGTATACAGCATTTGAATTTCCAGCTATTGTTGTGCCCATTGTCCTCTCACCCCTCCCCTAGCTGCTGAACCCCTCTCTCCTGTTTTCTTTATCTACCCACTGTCCCTCCTCTCATATCTCTTCTTTATTTGAAACCTCATTGTCCTCGCTCCTCTGATTACAAGTGAGCGTCTCACAGCAGAGATCCCATCAATGAAACGGGAACGACCGAGAAGGGAGGAGGGACAAACGTTTTGAGGAATTACAACATTGTTGCTCAGAGACGTCATTTCATGGAGACAGCAATTAAAGATGATGTCACATCATTGACGTGTCAACAATCAATGGTCTCTGTGTCTGGATGATTCCCCCCCCCTCCCCGCCACCCATATTCAATTGTACAGGTGTACATAAGGAAATGTCAGGTGAGTCCATTTGTCATCTGCATATTTCTAGCCCTCCTTTAAAAGTAAACAATAGTTGTGATGCAAGTGGTAACAATGACGTGGCACTTTGTATTCACTTGTTCCATGACATGTAAACATGAAGCAAAGTGCGTGTGACTTAAAAGGGCTGGGCGAGGTTTCCTGAAATGTTGGTTTCTCTCCCGTTGCTGCTACTTGAATGCGGAAGACAACCAATCGCTAAGAGCTACACAAGCACAGGTGAGCTTTGGGATCACTTCTTACTTTTATACTATGGTTATTATCGTTAATCAGATGTGTTTATCCAAAAAGTTGATGTTAAATTGTCAAGGTGTTGGGATTAATAATGCCTGCCATCAATTATTGTTGACGCTGAATGTGGAAAAACTGACTATCCTAGCCCTGAAAGGGTGAAAATAACATTATTCCTATTTCAGTCATGAAAATATTCCATAACTAACAGTGTGAGTTTACTGGTTAAAACCTTTTTGAAAATTGTTATTGTTTTATTAATAGTTTGTCTGTGATTTTTTTTTACTTATTAGGCAATCTTTCGTCATTGATGTTCGAATTTTTTTTTTGGTTTTGTATGTTGTGATTTTTCGAATTCGTTTTTTTACTTGAATACTGTTTAACTAAGACAATCATTCATTTCTGGTTTTCAAACTTTTTTGCATTTTGAATTTTTCATTCTGATTCTTATAGGCGGTTTAGTTTAAAGTTTTCATTTAGCTTCTATTTCTTTATTATTGTGAATCGTACTATTTTTCTTTTAAGGGCTAATGTTTTTTTTCTTACTGTGAATTGAAATCGTAAAAAATGACAAATAATATACATAGACATTTGAATATATATATATATATATATATATATGGACTGGCTCAGTGTGGGCCATATATATATATATACACACACACACACACACACACACACACACACACACACACACACACACACACACACTGTATATATTCACGATTCTGACAATCCAATGTTATTCCATTCATTTTTCTCCATGTCTTTCCAGAACTTTTAATAACACCTGAAGTGTAACCATGTGGCCAAATCAAGGTAGACTTTACATACGCACGCATCCGTGATTCTTGGAGGGGACTAAATAGTGGCTGACTGTGAATATTTGTATATCAGGTCCATCCAACCCAGCCTTTCCTCCTGGCTACAACCCCGCAAACCCCGCATTGCCGCCCGCAGGAGTCTATCCCCAGCCGCCGCCTCAACAATACCCGCCCGTCCAATATCCAATAGCCGTCAACCCAGCCATGACAACCAACGCGCCCCCGATTCTGAGGCCTTACGCAGGGGGTCCAGGTCCTCACTCCTACCCTGTGGCGCCCGGTGGGTATCCGGTGGCCTCGGTTGGAGGCGCTTACCCTGGTGCATACCCTTGGCCTCCAAAAGGATACCCCCACCACCATTATAAGGGCCACCACCACAACAAGGGTCATCTCTACTACGGAGGGGCACACACAACATATCCCCTGAGGGGGGGAATTGGTGGTGCCCTGACTGGCATGGCAATGGGATTGGTGGCACATAAAGCCCACAAAAAGTTGAAGAAAGGGAAAAAGCTGAAGAAGGCACACAAGCTGTATAAGCATGGTTACTACAACCATGGCTGCAAGGTGAGATGGACATTACCCTGGCAGGTGTCCTGTCTAACCGAACTCTAGTTTTTTTAAATACTCCATATTTGTGTTTAAGAAAAGTGGTAAGAATGTGCATGTTGGGTCACCTTCAGACACAAAGACATTTTCTTTATGCTACAACTTTGATGCGGCTGTTTGTCTTTTCAAGCATGTCCATAAAGTATTCTTCGATTTTTTTTTTTTTTTGATGCATTATCATGAAAGCTAACAATCATGATAGCAGAAAGCCTTCTACATGCAAATCACGTTCCAGCAGAAAACTGGGCAACATTTCTCAGAATTATGCAATATTATCAGCGAACAACAGATATTTGAAAAGCAAAAGCATATGATGTCAAAAGCGCAAACACTACTTTTAGTAATGATTAACGTACATTTCATGAACTGTCAACGCACATTAATTAACAGTCATGTATCAAAAATTTCAAAAACTAGAAACGGGTATCATTTTCTCAGCAGTCCAAAATTACCCGAAAAACAATTAACAAAATATCTTTGGCACTCTCCCCAAAACGAAGACATTTTCGTACAGTGCCAAATGCAGAGTAGTTTTATCGTACATTATTTTAGTTTTATTACCGCATTTTGCTAAACACTTTTTTCAAACACGTTATCGCTTATTTGACGTATTATGTGAACAGTTAATCAGAGAGGACAGATGAACTCACCTTTTCATTATTATTTGCTGTGAGGAAAAAATGTTTGTACGGCATCTTCTAAGGAATAGTTCTGCTGTTTTTTTTTTTTTAAATATGATCCATCTTTCATTTTCATTCATTTTTATACTGCACACTCTCTCAAGTCTGGTTAGTTGGGACAGTTAAAAATATTACCTGTACATTATTTTTGTGTGTGGTGGCCATCTTAGAACTCATGCAGTCACATTGATATTATTTCCTCTGAGGAAAATTAAAAACAAAGATCAATCAACTTAAGTCAGCAGGCATGAGGGAGAGGATGATGTTCCCCTACATGGAGGGTCCACTGTTCCACTGGAACTCAACATGCTCATTTTGAGCTACAGCAGCCTAATGAGGTCTGTACAATGCATTAACATGCTCATTAATCTGTCCTCACAGTATTCCTCCAGCAGTAGCAGCAGCAGCAGCAGCAGCAGCGACTCCGACTGAGGCCATCCTTAAACTGTATGCTACCATCTGAATAGAAAAGCCCAAACTGCTAAAAGGCATTATCAATAAATACTTCAACAGAATGTATGTTTTCATACAGTGCTTCTATCCAAATATACTGGGTATTTGCTTTTCAGTGTATATTTTAAAAGGATTTGTGGACTGTCACACGTCACTTTTTGGCAGGGCATGTTTTGTATCTTGAAACCTCTAGGCCGAGTGGACACACGAACATGTTACAGATGTTGATTGTCATCCCACTGTGTTATCAAAACATGGAATGTTTCTCGTGGTTGGCATGAAAAAAAAAACAATCTCTAATATGGTTATTTGCAATAATAAAAGTACAAAAAGTTACAAATGTTCATTGTCAGTGCTATGATATAGTTCAAGTCCACGTGTGCATCTCAATAAATCACGGTACAGTGGAACCTAAATTTAGCGTACCTGGAATCAACCGATCACAAATTCAATATAAGAGTCCTGTCCACCCAAAATGCCCCTTTGTACAGTACCTGTCAAACTGTGTTAGTTCCAGAATAATTTGCCCACAATCCCAGTACAGTAAACCATAATGTGGCGCCATCAGCAGACTGAGAATGGTCATGCACTTCTGGCTTGCTGCTCTCGTCATTCGTAAGCAGACTTACAGTTAGGAACGTGACAAGTGGCCGCCATCTCTGTGGAATTAAAAAACAATTTGCTACTTTCAGTAGACAAGACCAGCCTAAACAGTGTGCCAACGTGGCAGCCATGGTGGCAGGGGCGATTTTCACATCAAAAAGGACTTTTGTGGTGGCCATATTAACAGGGAACGAAAAGAAGCATGGTTCGCTGAGCATCGGCCTAGGCACAAAACTCAGAAGGAGCATGTCTTATCGATGTATATTGCTATTAGTAACTACTCACCTGCCTTGACTCATATGCATTTAAGTGACATATCATTCCTAATCCTCAGAATGTATAATTTTACAGATTCAATCACATCCGACTTATCTTAATGCACACATTAGAGTTTAATTAATTGTAAATAGTACATCATTATTTTACCATTCAAATAAACCGCAGATTTTACAGACACATTTGACCTCATCTCGAATTACCTGGCTCATGGGTTTGTTTTAAAATAACATCTAATTCTGGGGACTCCGGTTCCTCGGGAGCCATACCGTGCCTGTTTCATATCGCCCTCTCTCTATTTTAACACAACTGCTTAAAACGATCAGTTCATCAGCAAGCTCTGTACAAACCTGAAACGGCAGCGATCAGTTGAATCGGGTGTGTTGGAGTAGGGAGAGATCTTAAAAACAGGCAGGATATGGCTCTCGAGGACCATGGTTTCCCTTCCCGTGATCTAATTAATCAGCATTTTACTCACCCAAACGTGCAGGTCCCCAACACATAAAACTTGCACAGGTGCAAACTCTCACACTGCAAACACTCGCCAGGTTTCTTCTGGCAGATCCGTAGCGACGTTTTTGCCACAATGACACTGTCCTGGCTGCATATCTGACCCGCAGCGACGGCCAGGATGCCATTATGCACTGCTATTCTGGCTTCGTCCGTAAGAAAACGGTGAAGGACTTGCGCCTCAACAGGAAACGTCTGTTCCACTTTCCCAGTCAAAACCCTGAAGTCCAAACTGCCTTGGTAGTCACACAGGGTCTGGATGATGAAATTCGACACTTTTGCGTTCATCTCGAGGAAGGTTTGTGGACTACGGCCACCGTCTTCCACTTTGCTAAACTTTGAAAGAAACGAAAGTGAAACGTGATTCATCGCTGCTTGCCTCAATGGGTATTGGGGAAATCTCTTTTATTTAAAGGATCGCGCGAGAAGCTACAAAGTTACAACTAACATAACACGGAAGTCGATACAAACATTAACTTCAATTAATGTGTTTTGTGATTTCAGAGTGGACGTGAAATTAATGTATAGCAACTTTTGGTATTACCTGTACTTAAAAAAGCAAGAACAACGAAACATATTCTACGCAAGTACTTATTTCTAGTATTTATTTTTACCGTATTTTACATTGTTGTCCGCAGACAAGAGAATCTTTTTTTTTTCAATTGCGTTGATAAATAAAGGTTAAATTAAATAAAATAAACATACTGTACTGTGCTTCCGGCAACACGAGCGATAGCAACCGCTGTTCTGTGCCTTAGCAACCATGGACGAAGATCGAGCCCCAATGGAAAACAGCCCACAACAGCGAGAACAGGACGTCTCTGCACGTATCCAACAGCTACAGTAAAATAGCACTCGATTGAATGACTTTTTATAAGAAAACTATCAACTCTCCTGCTTTACACTTTAGCGATACAAACACAGCTAATGCTAACTGACATCGGCTACCATATCGAAATCGTATCAACTGTTTCATGATAACCACCTTAACATTGTAAGTGGCTTGTAAATATTTTTGTGTTTAAAAAAATGATATTAAGTTTGTTTACCTTATGTGGTGTGATTTGGAAAAAAATAACACGGGGTGTTGGTACAGCACCATAATTTTGTCAGCTCTGCAAGGAGTCAAGTTATTCTTTTGGAGGCTTTTCACTGAATTGAATATCCAATAGAATATCCAACGCAGCACTCTTGGCAGAGAATGAGGTGTTTGAAAGTTTTATCATCAACCGCCTGGATCAACAGGATCAATTGATCCACCATGCAGACCTGGGGGTAGCTGGGAGCCAAGTGCAGGATGGGGTAAGCATATACAGTATACAACTACACTCTGCATACAAAACAGTGGGTACAGCAACACAATCCATTGATATCAATCAAATCTCTCTCTCTCTCTCTCTCTCTCTCTCTCTCTCTCTCTCTCTCTCTCTCTCTCTCTCTCTCTCTCTCTATATATATATATATATATATATATATATATCTATCTATCATATCAAACATTTGTGTGGGACAAATAAAGGTTATCTTATCTTATCATTCAGCCTGTCAGGTGTTTGGAAAGGTGGGGAGAGTTGGACGGGATGAGCAGCCACGAGTGCAGGCAGGAAAAACCTCAAAGGAAGGACAGAGTTTTGTGACTGAAATGGAAGAAAATCATGGCAAGATTACACATACAACTCATAACAAACACTGAACCAAAGAAAAGATGCAGACTAATTGTGAGGCATTGAACAACAAGAGGGTGCTCGTGGCTGGTATTGGCGACAAGTATCTTCAGCCCTTGCAATTCCTCAACACCTTTAATTCAGGCCTTTATTGGCCCGGTACTGTAACTTGTATTGGCACTCGGCCATCCGTAATTGTTGTCATCGTAAATATAAAGTTTGTGATACAGCTCTTGTATTAGCTCTCATTACACTTCCTCTCTCATGATGCCACTACATCACTTTTGTATTCATTTGTGTATGTGCTGTCTTCTTAGGGTCATTGTCGGAGGCAGACATCTGAGGCCAACTTCCACGATGGCCTTTGGCAGCTGACCTTGATACAAAAAATGTGTGTTGCACAAAGGGAAGTAGCAGAGATGATAAGAAACCAGCAGAAAGAAAAGCAGCGGTCTGACAGAATTCTGGCCACCTATAAAGTTAGTGTCGGAAACTAAAATAAAAATAAAAGTCAAGTGAACACTTCAGTTTACACCTCTGTGGCTTCCTTTCAGGCCTCCTTCAAAGAAATAGAGCTACAGCGAGCAGACATTAGCAAAGACAAGAACGATTTTGAACACAGATTGCTCAAACCAATGAAGAAGATGTCAGAAATTAATGAGCCAGAGAAGGTACTCCACTACATCAGGAGTAAGGTAAATTGATCTCTCTTACTTACAAGTGGGGGTTTATTTACTCAACTGCAGAGAGAATACCAGGCCAATGTGATGGGCATTTATCGGAGAAAAGAGTCCTTTGTTTTGACAAATGTTCCACTGTCTACTTCACTTATCGTGTTTGGGCTCACGGCAAACTGAAGTCTGTCTTACTGACTTGTGCAAATTGTATTTGAAACTGAAACATAATGTGCAGCGGTACTATAAATGTATTGTGATTAATATGTCAAGATTATCATCGTGTGAAATCAGAGTAGAATTTGATTTCTGCCATTGCATATTGCCAGAATATGAGTGTCAAGAAATGAATTGTGTGTGCAATTTAGACTTCAAAGACGTACAGGGGGTTTATTAGAAGTGATGGTGTTGTTTATGAGACCAGCAGCTTATGTATTTGTAAGTTATTTCACAATAATGGAAATTAATTAAGGCGGCTCGGTGGTCCAGTGGTTAGCGCGTCGACATCACAGTGCAGAGGTTCAATTCCATCTCCGGCCTTCCTGTGTGGAGTTTGCATGTTCTCCCCGGACCTACGTGGGTTTTCTCCCACATTCCAAAAACATGCATGGCAGGCTGATTGAACACTCTAAATTGTCCCTAGGTGTGAGTGGGAGCATGGAGGCGTGTTCGTCTCTGTGTGCCCTGTGATTGGCTGGCAACCGGTTCAGGGTGTCCCCCGCCTACTAACTGAAGACTGCTGGGATAAGCTCCAGCAACCTCCGCAACCCTTGTGAAGATAAGCGGATCGGAAAATGGATGGATGGAAGTTAATTAAAATAATCCATTGCATTATGAAATGTATTCAAACACACGCACGCACGCACGCACGCACGCACGCACGCACACACACACACACACACACACACACACACACACACACACACACACACACACACACACACACACACACACACAGAAAGCGGGGCCTTCGACGATCCCTCTTTGCACAATCTCTAAATCATCCAAAAGACTTGGCCCCTCTCATGTCTACTTTCATCTTTTCGCTCACTCCACAGGTTTTCAAAGGGGTTGAGGTCTGGGGACTGAATAATTCTTTTTAAGGCTTTTCACACATCTTAACCAGGAGTCTCAATAATTATGGAGGGCACTGTGGTTCTGTACATGTATGTCCCAAATAAAACATTGTTCATATAATATATTGCATTAAAATTTTTCATCAAAACTACATGCATTTTTTTTTTTTTTGGTCATGTAAACATTACAATACCAGTAATTGTGTGCACTGGTCTCAATTGGGTCACAACTGCAGAGTACAAAGTGTTTATTAGAAAAAGTAAGGCATTTATGATATTTAATAAACTTTGTATTCATTTTATATTTTCTGTTGCCTTTTGTGTACTGGACGACATCAAGCAGAGCACTCAGTGTGACAAGTTGAAACTGAAGATTCAAGGCCTGAAGGCACGGGAGAAGAGGCTCCAGCTGCAGCTGCAGGAGAAAAGAGAGCTGAGAAAAGCAGGACTCGAGGTGAGCACGGGAAACGTAAAGGGACATCCTTCGACATGTGGGTGGCCACTGTACTCCCCTTACATGAGCTTAGTGTAGGGTTGGTATTTTTCCCTTCCCCATTCCTTATGTTTTTCTTTTTATCTTCGAAAATGGGGCGCTATAAAAGACAACCTTGTGGATTCCTGTTCTACATCCCTCTGTTGGTGAATGTTTTTCTGTCTTGAATGGGTCTTGCCTGTTCAGTTTTGCGACACTTTGTGGTGCAGTGACAATAAAGCTATTCTGAATCGGATGGTGCAGTGTTTTCAAACCTTAAAAAAGTACATCATTACCCTAAAAATAATAATCTCATTTCAATTTATTCACAAATGTACCTCCTCAGTGGGATAATCATGGCCGGTTAGTCTATTTATGTTTCATTTTAAACTTTACGACATTCTTCAAATGGCTTTTGCATTCAGGACATTTTCTTGGAAGACAGTGAGCCACCAATTGACCTCGAAGAACTCCAAGTCAAACGTTTACAAGCACAGCGCTCCCTGAACTCCCACAAGGTAGCTCACATATTTACGTCAGACCAAGTTAGTTTACGCCGCCGTTTTCAATTGCCGTTTGGTAAATGTGGGGGTTGTGTGTGTTCTCATGGACAGGAGAAGCTTCAGCGTGTGACGCAAGAGTGTGCACAGCTGAGCAGCGATATCACGAGGATGAAGGAGATGTTGGAGAAAATAGAGGAAGACATATTACAAGCTGAAGAGGTTGGACAACAGTCTTTTCAGCGTGCTGTGGAATGTCAAGTTCAATTTCACTGACCACACCCACCATGCCTGATTACTGGCAGATTTGTTGAATCAGGAAATCTGTCAGACAAAGTGAAGCAGGCCACAAGATCTAAAAAAAGAAACACATTCTGCCACAATCAAAAGAAAGTGCCGAACGACCAAGAAACAAATTGATTAAAATTTATATCGGTCTGGCTACAAAGCACTTCCCAAGTCTTTCAAACTCCAGAGAGCCACAGACACAAATGACAAAAACTGGGAAAACCAAAATTACTCCCAAGAGTGCAATGATTACTCATCCAGAAGGTCACAAATAACTGCAAAAGGCATGCAGCCCGTTACTTGTGGAGAAAAAAAGTGGCTCAAATATGGGGGTGAGCGTGTAATGTTCTGGGGTTGCTAACCTACTCCAGGACCTGTATCTAGATGACTTACTGCCAATAATACATTTTGCAGATCAATATTTTGGCCATTAATTTGAGCTCAAATGCTCGTGGGTTTTGCAGCAGGACAACAACCTGAATAAAATACAAAACATGTGTGATGATATGAAATATTTTAGGTAAATTTGCAAATACATCAGAGCGGTGCAAATACATTTTCCAGTTCACAAGTAAGATGTGCTGCTTCGTGAGCAAACATTGGACCTTCCTATAAACTGGGAGAACAGAATTACCCTCAGTAAAACTCAATTCCATATTGGCCTGGCATGCAAAATGAAATGTTTTCACCTCTTCTGGTAAGCCATTTTGGATTGTGAGACAAAACTCTCAGACTGCAATCTTTTTTACATTGTGGCGTTTCCTTATCTCCGCTCTCCCCACCATCTCTACTATCAGGAGCGTTCGAAGGCTGAGGCCCAGAATAAGCAGCTGCGCCGCCAGATGTCCACTTACCAGGCACCCGACGTCGCTCAGTATCTGCAAGTCAAGGACAAACACAAGATGCTGCAGCAGAGTGTCCACACTTGGCAGAGGAAGGTTAGGATTGCTGAGGTCAACCACTGTGTCATTTTGTTTTGCAACTGATCATGTCCTCTGATCTGCCCAGATGACCTCCAAGTCTAAATTCTGGAGCCAAAACAGAGGCTCTTCTGTCAACAGTGCAGATGCTGGAGCTGCTGATGGGGAATGTCCAAATCCAGTGACACTACCATACATAGAACAACATGGCAAAGCTTAGATTTAGATAAAAAGCTCCCGCATTCATCAAGTTCAACATTTACTGAAGGGGGGGAAATTAAAAATCTTTTTTTTTTTAACTTTTTAAAAACAAATGAATGAATAAATGAAAATAAAAGAGAATTTAATTACGAAAATTGAAATAAATTCATTCATTTAAACAATTCAGATTCATTTTAAAAATATGAATTTGTTATAATTATTTTTTACAAGTCAACTACCCATCCATCCATCCATTTTACGATCCGCTTTATCTTCACAAGGGTCTGCTGGAACCTATTCCAGCCGTCTTCAGGCAGTTGGCAGGGGACACCCTGAACTGGTTGCCAGCCAATCTACAATATACAGTATACAGATAATATTGCATTTACAGAAAAATATATGACTAATCATCGTTATCATGACATGATGGAATCAAATTACATGAGTGAGCCTTTTACGGACAAAAACTGAAGGCGGAATTATTTTCTGTGACACATCACTGTTCCTTTGTATGTTAATGACTGGAATTTCTTGCAATAAAATATTACAAAGTCATCCTGCAGAATAGTACAAATATCCATTCAGCTAAATGTAATAAATGTTTCACGCTTCTCCCCTGTTAATGCTGTTTGAAAAGAAGCGTATACAGTATACTGTATAGTGAAAAGTAAATACTGTATAGAATGAAAAAAAAACAGTCATAAACAGCATGGTGCAATAAAAACGACCTCAGACTGGACAAACTATTTCATTTATTAGAAAGAAATCCTTTGCGGTTTATGAGCGCTCAAGGATTTTGTGTTATGCTGTTACATACAGTACATGCCTTATCTACATTTACATACATCCATGTGCAGTGGGTGAGCTGCTCAATTCTAAAATTTGTCATTTAACTCTTGAGGATTGCAACATTACACGTAGTCATGTGTCTTTGGAGCAGACGACGAGTGAATGCATACATGAACGAATGTACAGAAACATCTTTGAAGGCACTTTCACAAGTACATATTATGTCATTACACTATGACGAAAGCACACTTGTCCACAGGGATGTTTTTGCTTACACTATTTTGTTTGCGCTCTAATCTATGTTAGCTTTACTCGGAAACAAAAATATCACGGGTTCGTAAAACTATTCAACTTTTCATGAATGTACACACAATGTCTGCTGAGCCAGCTTAGACCTGGAGATTCACTCTTGAATTGTTTGTAATGTTACAATGCTGGCTACCATTTCAAGATTCCCCAAAATCCTGACTGAGATTTGAATACACAAATACACATGACAATTGCACACACTGACACGTGAGACCTCCATCTCCTGCTGTCACACAGGAAGTGTTTATGATCTTGACAAGGAGAAGTCTTTTTTTTTTCCCACGTGGCACTCCCGTGTGTACATATCGTGTGTCCTTCTGAAGGTCCACTGCCATGCTTCAATTTGTCTTCAGATATGAATGCCAACGAAGATACAAATTTGCATTCCACATCACATTGGGTGCATACGGCATTTCATATACACTACTAGCAATAATCGACTAACGGGTGAAATTTCAGGATGAAGCTAGGATCCACAATAGCCTAGATTAGTGAACTGGATTTGACCTCCTCTAAACATTTGAATGCACATCCAACTGTTCACCCGCTTTCTATGAGTAATGCTTACTTTAGAAGGCATCTATGCAAAACATATGGAGATGCAGTTCATCGTGATGCAGTGGTTTTATCGAATCGTCCAAAAGCAATACCACACACCAGATGACGTCTGTTGCACTTCACATCACTGATTCATTTCTGAACAGAGAACCACAAAGTCAATCAGGTCAAGCAGCACTTCAGTCCTCATCACACCAGCGTCACAATGACAACTAGGGCTAGGTAAAAAGACAACATTGTGCCCGCCTGGTTTCGAGCCTGACTGAAAAACGTTACATGCACCATGGTGTATCCACCTTGCAACCGCTAACCAAACTAGTGCACACTTTATGTAGGACTAAGGGAAGCTTTTGTGATTTGTTGTTCAAGTTCATTTTTAACACACTGCCAAGACCTTTAAATTACAACTCTATTTTTTTCCAAACTTCAAGGCTGTGACTATACACTCTGAAAGGCCGGTGTTGGGGAACCTATAGTATCTGTTGTGGAAGTTGCTGGTTCTTTTGCATCCCAAATGTTACATGGTACAGGATTTGTCCAGAGGATCCTGAGGCAACGTCGGAGGAGGCTGCGATACCTGACTGGACTTGGGAAGTACCATCGGTTTGGGTCTCAAAGCGGGCGGCTTAAGCTGCACGCCCATGCGAGGCATCACGGCGGGTTTGAAGGTGCTCATGCTGTCGCTGGTTGAGCCGGCGCTGCGGCGGAATGGCGGCTCCGTGTTGGCGGTGGACCTCAGCATGACGCCGTGGATGGGGTGGCCCAGGGACTCGCTGGAGCTGTCCGGCGTGGGACCCCCACCCCCGCTCACGGCTTGCCTCTGCTCCAGCGTGTCCAGTACCACGTCGGGGGCGTGCTTGACTGAGCTCTGGCGCTCCAATTCCCGCAGCTCGTTCAGAGCAGTGTTCATGGTTTCTTCGATGTCCTACGGAAGACAAAGAGAATGTCTATGAGGGAGGCAGGAAAGAAGGCTGAGGAAAATTTGAAATAGTTGGGTCAATATCACTTTGACAAGCTTTTGGCGTCTCCATCAGAACCAGTTGTCATTAAACTGTAGCAGAATAATCGAACTAAGGTGTTATTTGAAGCGGCTACACATATCAGCACAATGGTAGGTCTCCAGAAATATGTTTCCATTCATTTTATTCCTCCGCTCCTCATTTAAAAGTGACGGCGCTTGACCAACAAACATAACATTGACTTAATACAAAATGAAAGTCGAAAATCTCATTCGGCACCTGATGATATTGACTGCGTTCGATATCATTCACTCATTCCCGACTACCGAATCACGATACGGATTGTCATTTGTACCGCATTCATAGGACTCGATACTGTCGTGCAGGCATCAGCGAATGACTACTCGGGCGCAAAATGCTATCGCATAATTACGACGTGACTGCATCTGTGTCAGCTTATAGACCTTGCGTAATAAATACTGAACTAAGTAAATTATAACACCTTTAAATTGTTTTAAACCAAGGGTATTTTACAAAATATGCATTGCTCTACTTACAATTAGGTGTCTGCACACCACAAGTCATTTCCTTACATGCACACTGCATCATGGGATATCTTGATTGTCTAGTTATATCTTGCTCACTATTCAAATGTATTGTGAAATACAATACATATATTGGTGATAACTACGCAAGGGTATAAACTGGATAGGGAGAAATTTCAAACAGCCATCAACACAAAACATGAGAGGATGCAGAAAACAACAAGCAAGGAGCCATTGCAAATTACACAAACAAAAAACGAAATAACTTGGCATTGGTATTCTCCCACAAGACTTGGTCATGAAAAGTATGCAGTGAAGATAAGATATGGAGGTGGGAGCATGCACTGCCAAGCACTAGCTGTGAGCTTTTTTTTTTCAGTATTAATCACAGGGGGTCCTGAACAGCGAAGTGACACAAAACGCAAGGGGGAAAATGGCCTAATGCAGTGTGTTCTATTTTACTAGGATCCTAAAGCTGTAACTTGGGGAGCGGCAAAATAATTTGCCATCAATTAGGACAATTTAGAGTGTTCAGCTAGCTAAACACGCATGCTTTTGAAACGTGGGAGGAAATATCCTAATAAAACCAATGCAGACATGGGGAGGGACAGCAAACACCAAGAAATGTCACACACTTGATCTCCTTGCCATTAATTGCGATGCACTGGATCATATAGCTGATATCACTGCAACATTTGTAGTTCGGCTACTCCTACTACTACTACTACTACTACTACTACTAATACGAAAAATTTTGGAGTGATAATAACTTGAAAAAGTTTGAAAGCGATTTTCTAACATACAATAGAACATGGCCCAGATGTGTGAATGGCTCTCTCCCAACCCTCAGTGACTTTTTTTGTGACTTTAATAGTGCAGATATTGCAGTGTGCTGGTGCCTGTCAAGCTAGTCTCTTGCGTGTAGTTAGCACAGACGCGGTAGCAGAAGACAGGGACTGACTAGGTTTTTACAGTGCGGGGCAGGGCTTTGACGGTGCAGAGAACTGCGGTCGGCTCGCCGCTCTTCCCGCGCTGACCTGAGCGATGGTCTCCGGGTCCAGGGGCTTGCCGCCGTGGTGGTGGTGGTGATGGTGATGGTGGAGGTGGGCCTCGCTAAAGCCCGTATACTGGCCCGATGAGGTGGAGCGACGAATGGGCGGGCTTTCCATCTTCTTCAGGGATTCGTGCCGGCTGATGTTGGTCAGACTGCCGTGGCCGGTGCGGCGCAGACGCTCAGGGCTGTCCGCGGGCAAATGGTTACGGCTCCGTAGCATGTCGCGTGGACTGATGTGTCCTAGGACTGGGGAGCCCATCTCGGGGGTGCCTCCGTGTCTAGGATGACCCTGCTGGGAGGAGTGCATCATGCAGTGGATGTCGCTGGGGCGTGCAGGGGGGCGGCGGGACGGTGGGTCTGATCGTTTTCTGTGCCTGCTGGAGTAGAAATGCAAAGGAAATAACTGTGATGCAAACCCAAAAATCACAACAGTGAGGCAAGGAATTACAATTCTATCACTGTTTAAATATTTTAGAGGACAGTTAAACCGATACGAGCTTTTAGTGTGAGCCCCAAAAAATAAATAAATAAAAATCAAGCTGTGGAAAATTTGTGCTGGGAAAGGAAATAACTGCAGCAACTCATAATCGCCTGCAAGGGGCGCAGTCTGCATGTACTGTTTAAAAAAAAAAAAACAAGTCATCTGCTGTTGAGAGGAATCTGACAGATCTGTTTCCTCCATAAAAATATGAAATAAAATAGTTGATTGCGGCAACCAGTCCTGGGTTAAGTACTGCTGGCCAATCATGTGTTTCAGGTTAAAAATAAATAAATAAATAACAAAACAAAACAAAACAAAAGCAACAACAAAAAAACAGGATACAGTAAATGCTTTTTCTAAGACAGGGACAAGT